TTCCAAGATCCATACAATTGGTTGACATTCTTCCCTCCATTGGCAGTGGAAGACCTCAAGGCTTTTGGATTGGGATGTGACTGGAGACGGTCATTTATTACTACAGACATGAACCCATTTTTTGATGCCTTTGTGAGGTGGCAGATGAGGAAACTAAAATCTATGGGCAAGATTGTGAAAGACGTCCGTTATGCAATTTACTCTCCACTGGATGGGCAGCCCTGTGCAGATCATGACAGGGCAAGTGGCGAAGGAGTTCAGCCCCAGGAATACACCCTCATCAAAATGGAGGTGGTGGCACCTTTTCCATCTAAACTGAAAGTGTTGGAGGGAAGGAAAGTGTTCCTTGCTGCAGCGACACTTAGACCTGAGACCATGTATGGACAGACAAATGCATGGGTATTGCCTGATGGGAAATATGGAGCCTTCGAAATCAACGAAACAGAGGTATTTATTGTAACGCAAAGAGCAGCACTTAATCTTGCCTATCAGAAGTATTCTAGGGTTCCAGAGAAACCTACTTGCTTAGTGGAGCTCACGGGTCATGATTTGATTGGCCTTCCATTGAAGTCACCACGCACAATCAATCAGATCATTTACACTCTTCCTATGTTGACTGTCCTGACAGACAAAGGTACTGGGATTGTGACCAGTGTGCCTGCTGATTCTCCTGATGATTATATGGCCTTGCATGATTTAAAAGCAAAACCTGCTCTTAGAGCAAAATATGGCGTGAAGGATGAGTGGGTCATGCCCTTTGAGATTATTCCAATTATCAATATTCCTGATTTCGGTAATAAGGCTGCAGAAAAGGTCTGTGCAGATCTAAAAATCAAGAGCCAGAATGAGAAAGAGAAGCTAGCAGAAGCCAAGAGGCTGACATACCTGAAAGGATTCACTGAAGGAACACTTATCGTGGGTGAATTTGAAGGAAGGAAGGTCCAGGAGGCGAAACCGTTGATAAGGAGCAAGCTCATAGAGTCAAATGAGGCAATTGTATATAGTGAACCTGAGAAGCGGGTGGTGTCACGATCAGGTGATGAGTGTGTTGTGGCTCTCACAGATCAATGGTACATCACATATGGGGAACCTGAATGGAAAAAACTGGCGGAGGAGTGCTTGTCCAGCATGAATTTGTATCATGACGAGACAAAACATGGATTTGAACACACATTGGATTGGTTGAATCAGTGGGCTTGTTCACGATCTTTTGGGCTTGGGACTCGTATTCCCTGGGATGAAGAGTTCTTAGTTGAGTCGTTGTCTGATTCAACTATTTACATGGCTTATTACACTATCGCTCACTTTTTACACAATGGAGACATGTATGGTCCCAGCAAATCTGCAATTCAACCTGAACAAATGACTGATGAGGTCTGGGAGTATATTTTCTGTGATGGCCCATATCCTGAATCATCTAACATATCGTCATCCATCCTTAATAAGATGAAGCAGGAGTTTGAGTATTGGTATCCTTTTGATCTTCGAGTGTCTGGCAAGGATCTAATCCAAAATCATTTAACCTTTTGCATTTACAACCATGTGGCAATTATGCCCAAGAAGCACTGGCCTCGTGGCTTTAGATGCAATGGGCACATCATGCTAAATGCTGAGAAGATGTCTAAGTCCACAGGGAACTTTAGGACCATTCGCCAGGCAATTGAGGAATTTTCTGCTGATGCCACGCGATTCTCATTGGCTGATGCTGGAGATGGTGTTGATGATGCAAATTTCGTATTTGAGACTGCAAATGCTGCTATACTAAAGCTAACTAAAGAGATTGCATGGATGGAAGAAGTTTTAGCCGCAGAATCCTCTTTGAGAATAGGTCCTCCTTCTACTTATGCTGACAGGGTCTTTCTGAATGAGATAAATATTGCTGTGAACAGGACTGAGCAGAATTACCGGGATTACATGTTCCGAGATGCACTCAAGACTGGGTTTTACGATCTTCAGGCTTCTAGGGATGAGTACAGGCTTTCATGTGGTTCTGGGGGCATGAACCGTGAATTGCTGTGGCATTTTATGGACGCACAGACACGTCTTATTACTCCAATCTGTCCGCACTATGCAGAATATGTCTGGAGGGAACTTTTGAAGAAGGAAGGGTTTGTGGTCAATGCAGGATGGCCTGTGTCTGATTCTCCAGATCTGACCCTCCATAATGCCAACAAGTATTTGCAACATTCCATTGTTGTAATGAGGAAGCTTCTTGAAAAGCAAACTTCAGGCTCAACGAAAGCCAATAAGAAGGGTCCTCCAGTTAAAGCATCGACAGAAACCAAAAGGTTGATTGGTTTAATATATGTAAATGAGCAATTCGATGGATGGAAGGCGGAGTGTTTGAGGATACTACAGAGTAACTTTGACAGTGATACTCGCACTTTTGCTCCAGACAAGGTAATTTTGGAGGCTTTGCAGAGTTGTTCAATTGGTCAGAGTAAAGATTTTAGACAAACCCAAAAGCTTTGTATGCCTTTCTTGAGGTTCAAGAAGGATGAGGCACTTACTCTTGGGCCCCATGCCTTAGACTTGAAGCTACCATTCGGAGAGATGGAGGTCCTTCAGGAGAACTTGGACTTAATTAAGAGACAAGTGAAGGTGGACACTAAGGGACAGGGACAAATCGAGCTTGAAGAAGTAGAAGTTCTGTCTGGTACCGATCCCGATGCTCTTGCTAAAGCTGGTTCACTTGCTAAATTAATAGAGCAGAATCCGCCATCCCCTGGAAGCCCAACTGCCATCTTCTTGACCCGGTAATTATAAACCATTTGATACATATGTGCAATTTACACAAAGCATTTACACACAGAGACTTCCGGTCAGGTTTTTTCAACTCAACAAAGGACTTTCAAGTTTCAACTGTTCATAATTTAATTCGACATCTGCATATTACATAAGCACACAAACACACATTGACAACCAAATTGTACTTTATTTTTTCAGTTATAATTTTGCAATCACTCTCTTGTGCTGCATTTATTTGCTGGTGGATGGAGGAAAATTACTTTATATATGATAAACCCTCTACTAGAGATGAGGATTTAATTTTTCCATACGCCTCCTTGTAATGTCATAAACCAGATTGGAAGAACCAATAAAAGAAAACCTGTTTACAGATCTTTGTTGTGCCACATTGTGTGCTATCTGGAGGCAATTTTGATTCGGGGTTTCAGGCATGTTAGCTGTCACGGTGGTGTAGATATGTTTGATTAACTTTTTTAGCAGAAATTTGTAATGTGTCACATCATGTTGCACTGGTATAGATATGTTATTAGTGAAAATAAGTCTTGTTCTGTTGGTCATCATTTGTTAGGTGTGTCTGAATGAGTTTGTGTTTGAAGTATAATGTAAATTTTGGTAGTAGTTCGATTTTACGTTGTGCAATTTTCAACTGGAGTCTGGAGGCAATTGTTTGTTTTACTGGGTTTTGAGACTAATATCCTTGGTGTTATTCATTAGCATGCAATATGCATACTTGGTTTCTTCATTGCAATATTTTTGTTGATTACGATCAAACCACTCTTATTTTTGCTGATATTGATAGTAAAGGCGTTGTGCTATACTACATCTGATTTTTGTATTCTGATCTACGGCGTTATCTCATTTCTGTTTCTTCTCTCCATAGGTCATAACTCCGCTCTCAAACACTGGCAACGGAAAATTTAGCCGGCTTGGAAGATGATACTTTTGCTTGACAAGGAACTAGAGTGATTGCAGAAAGGCCCTCCGCCGTCATAGTATATCTGGAATTTTAAGTTACATGCTGAAGATAACACTTATCGGACTTCTCCAATGATGAACTGGGTGAGGTTTTCTGAGTGTGACGTCTCGTATTTGAATTTTTGAATATCAGATTTTAGTTGTGTTTAAGATTTTGAAATGTTTGATTGTGTTCTGTTTCAGCATATTGTAGATTTACTTTATATCTTCAACAGATGGATACAACTTTTGCTTTAAAATTCTTTTTAGCCGACGTCACTTAGTGGGAAAAGGCTTTGTTGTTGTACTGTATCAGTTTAATCGTTGCGTCTTGTCTAGTATATACTAATTATACACTGAATCTGATCCAAGCTGGTTTTGCAAACTTAGAACGAGCCGTGTCATAACCGGTGAATCACAACTCTCATGTTCTTCGTCATCCTACACTTGTTTTAGTTCTGGCAATATGAGCCGGGGCATCTACTTTACGATTGAATTCGATACTAATTTATTCTGTCACTACTTAGTGTAAATATATTATTATATTAAAATAAATGAAAAAATTAATGGGATACCAAATTACCAATGATAAGGGCTCTCTAAATTATATAAGGATGCCCATAAAGTCGGAAAATAAACATAAAGAAAGAAATAAACCTTTAAATGGATGGAATCGAATTGAGACAATATGAGAAAACAGTATGAAACATGAATTACCTAAAACTCTCAACTTTTTGGCGTGATTTCAAATTAGTCTCAACATTTTCGAACATTTCAAAAGAATATAAACGTATAGGAAATATCACTTCCATTAAGTCTTAAGCTAGAAGAACCGTTAAGTACTTAGGTGGCACTTATATTTTTTTTAATAATGCGGACAAATCTCATAATTTGCGTAAACACGTGGATTCCCTACCATCAATTAAATAGGTCCTGATGGAGGCCAAACCTCAAAACACTCTTCTGAAACCCTAACCTCTTAAAACTCTCTTCTGAAACCCTAACCTCTTACCGTCTGAAGTGCACTTAGGTTGCAGACTCAAACAACAATCGTGGTGACACGGCTTGGAGATTGCTATTTGAAATTGTTTTAGAAGGGAAGGGCATGATGGCAACATAACATTAGACTAAAATTGACTAACATAAAAACTGATGATTAATTGATAAAAAAAAAAACCTCTTTCGTTTTTCTGTAGTAATATTATACAATAGAAGAAAAAAAAAATCTGATTATTTAAAAAAACAGAAAAACAAGAAAAATTTAGCAGAAGCATGAGCGAGGCTTTCAGTCGCGAGGCTGTCGGCGAAACTTTTACATTTGAGGATTGTTCCAACTGCAGAGGTGGAAGAAGGAGAAGGAAATGTTTCAGATCACCGTACTTGCGGATTTGAGATTTGGAATGTTTGAAAATGTTGAGATTAATTTGGAATCCCGTCAGGAGATTGGAGAGTTTTAGATACTTAATTCGAAAAAAAAAAAAAAAAAAAAGAACAAAACACATGAATTATTTACTCAGGGCAAAGGGGCCTGTCGGAAGCATCCCTGTGACTAGGAATGTTGAAGTGCCTCAACCTCCCTACTTGTTTTTTCATGTACCCTTCGCAAAGGAAAGCCTTGGAGAACTTGTCTTCCACATCCCTATTCACATCATGCACAAACACATCAGTCTCTCCCTCCACTTTGTTCCTGGCCATCATCCCAGCCGTGTAGATGGCACTCATCCTCCCCGGTGCTCCATCGTGATACCCTGTGGGTGCATCCACCATGATCAAATCCCATTTGATCTCATACACTTCACTGGGCAACCCCTTGAGTGCCAGCTGGCACATGCTATACCTAGGATCACCAACTGCACTGCACTCAGGCCCCTTCCCAACTCCCAGGAGATCGTTAGCCTCGTTCACTTTGCTATCATATGTGACATGGTACGATTCCAATGTGGGGAAACGGCGCTGGATTTGCTTGATCCACGACTCGTCTTCTTCGAGGAAAATGGTGCGTCCGCCGTGGTTGAGGGAAGTCCACATGAGGCTGTCGTGGCCTAGGCCGAAGACGAGGAAGTTGCATGGAGATTTCTTGTCCAAGACCTTTGATGTGACGGAGATTTCTTTTAGGGTTTGTTGTGGGGTGATGGTGGAGGTTGTGTAGTGGATCAGGGCTTTGGCTAGGGAGGTCGGGATCTTGTTGCAAGTCATTGTGGAGTCACAACTTGTTGATTTTTCGTGATCGTCTTCCGATTCTTTCACCGGAATGGTGGATTTTTCATCGGACGAAGCTCGTGATGAATCAAAACTTGACCTGAGGACAAAGATGACAACAAAAGCGAGGAAAACTCCAAGGATGAGGAGCTTAACATTGAGAGTTGGATGGGTTTTGGTTCTCATGTTTTGGCTGCAGGTTATATTTGTTTTTTTGTGTGTGTGTTCTTGATCAGCATGAGAGGTTGGAACCCTAAACCATATATATCTATATATACAGACACACACACACACATATGTATATATATGTAACGGTTTTGATTAATTTGGTAAGTGAGTTGGAGGAAGAAAGGGACTCAGTTGATGAGGAGGTGCTACGTTGTAGTACTAGCATTGGATGCTTAAACATGAAGGTAAGGAAGTTGGTTCGGATGCGTAATTGATGAAGACATAAGAGCTGCTAGGTTTAGGATTCTTGGTGAAGCAACGGGAACAAGTTAAGGTTGGTAGATCTACGAGTTCGATTGGTTGCAGGTCTCAATTGCTTGGCTATTTTTAAATCCGTCAGAGATTTGTTTAGTGCCTGCTTAATTTCCTCAGTTTTGATACAGCACTTTGTAACGTTATTAGGTTTTAGTTATGGAGGCGCTCCAATAAGGTACCATACACATGTAGGAGAGACTTTTCAGTGTTCGGAACACGAACACATACGTCTTATGTCATTATATAAGTGGAAATACTTGAAAATCTCTCCACAAGGTAGGATCCATTTTCTTAGTGCTTGCTTACCCTCTTAATCTTGGTGTAGCGTTATTCCGGTCTAGATTCGTGCCACATGTTTAACAAACTAACCATTATCAGTTCATGCATTTATTTTATTGTATTTTATTTTATTGAGAAAAAGGAAAGTAATAAAATCAATTAGTAAACTTACCATTTACTCTTTCTTTAATTTAACCCTCATTAAATTAATTGATTAGAATCATAAATTGGCAAATATATTTTTCTTATATAATGTTTTTGTTTATTGGATTTGTAACAAGCACATTAGTGGATCTCATGCCTCGTGGTTTTATTAAGTTTTTTCGACTTTATGGCTTATTTTAAGGCAATTATTGGCACCTTTTTAAATATAATTGATATCTCATGAAGATGCAGGTTTTTTTATTCAATCTCAAAGTGGTTAGTCCTTGATTTCTGGAGCTAAGCCTCTTGGACCTTCTAATGTGCGCTTGGCGGAAGCTACAACACTGCATCTTGGTCTTTCGCAAGCTATCAGGGCGGGGCATAAAAAGATTGTTATATTATCTAGACTAAGGGAGTAAGCTAAACCTCACAATGAGCTAGCAATAATGTAGTTCAAATTCGCATTTGTCAAGAATCGAACCTAATACCTATCACTTACAAATGAAGATGATTACCACTAAACCGTAGTACTAAATAGTATAGGATGACTCGAAAATCCTTATTAATTGGACCAATGGAGCTTGTTTCGTTCCCTAGAAGCTTAGAGTTTTGTTGAATGATATTATGTACTTTGCTCATAGTCTCTAAATGCGTAATTAGAGAAACAAGTTGAATATGTGGATTAGGGCAATTAACAAGAGCAATATGCTCGCCGTCTTGCAGCCAAGTTCGAATCTCTGTATTTAAGATAGTTTACAATATTGCCTAGTAAACAAAATAAGCTACGACAAACAAGCTGAAGACATCGGAGACTTTATCCTAAATTATGTGCACTTGTGTATTCCATGCCAAAAGCATCGCAAGAAAAGGGGAAAATAAGAAAAAGAAAAGAGCATTGTATTGTGAATGTGATGACAACCTTCTAATTAATCATATAACTTAACCTTTTACTTTACAAAGAATGTATTAGAGCTGATTGAGCAGATAGGGTTTCAGCTTCCACAGCTTGTCTCCAGCATCTCAACACCAACACGACGACCTTATCTCACCATCTGCCAACAAAACAGTATTCCGGTAAGTCAATGCCTGCAGATTTGATGGACTTCGGATACAAAACTTAACAATCATTCAGAATCAATTCTAGCATGTGATGATTAGTACTTGAGTTGATAGCCTACCTTCAACAATCACGTATGTATTTGGTGTGACATAATCAGAAGGAGCTCCGTGCGTCCCAGATTATCTTTCAGTGGTGAGATTTGTCAAGTTCCCGAAAGGAATACTTCTTCAGTATCAGAATTATGCCAATCTGAAGGAGCTCCGGCTTTTCAAAATTAAGGCAGTGCAAATCTCTCTTCCGTCATCACCTGCCGTTTCTTACATGCTGAAGTAGGGATTCTGTTTGTCCATTGTCACTGTTAGCTTTCTTGGCTTTGGTCTTGTCTAGACGAGCTTTGCGGACAGCATGTTGTATTTGTTTCTCATGCTCTTTGAGCATCTCCTCAAGGTTTCCTCCAGGGTGCATCAATGGTCCAGAGTAGTGAATCCGGTTCTTTTTGTTACCGTAACCCTGATGCCAAACAGGAAATGATTTAGTAATATTCATGTTAAATAATAAACAACTCACTAAACAAAGGTGTTAACTTAGGTTCAGAAGCAAGCAGTAGAGAGTTCCTATTACAAAAAAATTTCAAAATAAATTGTCATAATAACTTGAATATTGTTTTGCACGGAGTCAAATTATAAAATTAAATATGCAAAAGATGAAAATATGAAACTCCATTACCGTTGCATACTCCTTCCCAGATGGCTGTTCATCCTTCTTATGTGAAGACTTTGGTCTTTCCAGAAGATGGTGTGACCAATCATGTTTCACAGAGGACTCCCCGTTGTCTAAATGGTTATATCTGGCATTCTTACGCTCCTCTGGCCAGTGTGGATTCGCACTTTCTGCGATACCATCAAATCGTGAACCACTTCGAACTGAAGCTGAATTAGAATACCTCGACGACTGGGCTGCTCCACGATACATGTAAGATCCATTCTTAGAATGGCTAGATTGCAAAGATTCAAATGCACTTGGGCGCACTGACTGGCCAGAATGGGAGAAGGCATTTGATGCTGCTCCCTTGGGAGGCTCGATAGGAAAGCCAGAGCCACCATCCTCTTCAGGATTGTACTTCTCACTGATGCTTTTGGGGTTAGTCTGCCCTTGTCGCTTCAAGATTAGAAGATAAATACAACAAAAAGTTCAGAACCTAAATAAGTAATTCTTCACAAAAAAATTGAGTTTTGTAGTTAGAGGCACAAATAATATAATTATAAAAGTTCACGGCTAGGGTACCTGTATTGCATTGGCATCTGATGCTGGCACAGCCTTTGGTTCTTTGGAACTCCCTCCTTTACCACTAGCTGCTTTCCGCCTGGTTTAAAGATGAGAAAAATAATTTTCAAGCATGAGTAAACAAATAAACTGGTCATGACTTTAAAATCAAAATACACATACATATACACAAATGATAAATGTTGTCTTGTCATCAATTAGGCGGACTCTTATTTGAATGTGTGGTGCCATATTGACATCTTGGCAACATAACATGTGAAATATCTAGCAAGAGAACATTATTCTCTCTGCATATAGATACTCTTTAGTGGTATCAGTAAAGAAATTTCGTAATCGAATCTTGCATAACGAACTGAAAATTAGTTAATACGATTTGGAAATAGCTCACCTTCTAGCTTCCTCGTCTCGGAGCTTGGCATCAAACTCCTTACTCGGTGGGTACTTAGGCAAACTTGATGGATCACAGGGAAGAGGCAAAGATGTGAAGAACTGGGAAACGAAAATAATTAAAAATATATCAGAGGTAAGATCTAATTTACAAAATTGTTTCAAATTAACAAGATCACAAAATTCAATGGAAATAGACAGCATGGTTTCAAAAAGCAAAGAAAACCCTTGATTACCTCACTCTGAAGGGCAGAAGAAGCTGTTCCCCGACCTTCAGGTTCTACAGCTAGAAGAACCTCTAACAGGGCCAATGCAGATCGAGGGAAGTCCTTGTATGTCTCAGCAACACATCGCTTGTATGGATGTGTAGGTTTAAAAATAGTTGCATGTGGCAATTTTGATCTCTTCCAGTATTCCTCAGAAGGTGAGCCACAAAGTTTAAATATCTTATGTAGTTGCTCCACCTGTAAATAATAAACGCTGAGATCTCATCACAGTCAAATAAGATGTCTGATAGTTCCACTGTTACAGTTGGTAGATTGAAGCATAAGGGATTAACCATACAATGTTGGTAGATTATAGCATAAGGGACTTACCATACAATGTTGGTAGATTAGAGCATAACGGATTTAACCATACAATGTACCATATATGTTTTAACCTACTAGACTATTTTTATAGAAAGTTTCCGTATGCTTTCATCCATCATCTGACATTCATTATAATCTGGTTACATAATACGTTTGTATCAGCGAAACATCAAGCTCGTGTTCTTGAACAACTACAGTTGCATCTGAGTAGTATAAACTTTAAACTCTTCATGCTTACATTCTAAGTTCCAGCACATATCTTTATCAATTAGTGGTGGGAAGAAACAAACAAAGAACAACACAGTTGTTGTGACCTAGTTCAGACCATTATAGCAAAACCAGTCATCAAACACATATTTTCCCCTCTCGTATCCATAACACATTCAAACACGATACTAAATTCTAAAAGGTTGCTGTTAGGATTTTAAGATGACTGAATTTCTAGAGTTTTTTCATACCTAATACACGCAAAGCAAGCAGACATAAAGATATATACACGTATACTTCTAGGTGTGGATAAGAAGCTGGGAAAATACCTCTGTTCTTCCTGGCATGATAGGCTTCCCAGCAAATAATTCTGCAAGAATACAACCAGCACTCCACAGATCCACGGCAACCCCATAATCTGTAGAGCCAAGCAGAAGTTCAGGTGGTCGGTACCACAAGGTTACTACCCGGCTTGTCAGAGGCTGCTTTTGACGGGGTCTGTAAAAGGTTGCTAGCCCAAAGTCAGCAATCTTTAGCTTGCCATGATAGTCAATCAAAAGATTTGATCCCTTGATATCACGGTGCAAGATACCATGACTGTGACAATGCTCAAGTCCACAAAGAAGCTGTTGCATGTAACATTTAATCTGCAACCCAGTGCACAAACAATATGTATCAACTACAAGAAAAGATGAGTCAAACATCTTGCTACTATGATAAATATAAGATCATGAAAATTAACACAACTACCATTAGATGCATGGATCATATTGCTAAAAACAGACCATTCAAGGGCAGTCTTGATAAGAAACAATATTTCTTCAAAAGCTAAACAATTTCTTTTTCCTCAGGGTTATGGTCTTTCTATTCGTTTTATATTACTGTTTCAGATATTCTCACTTCATGGATACACTAGAGTTGGCTTTGATGCGTTAGTTTTTAGTTAGCATGTTGTAGCACCTAAAAAGTGTAAAACAATTTCTTTACGGTTTCAATGAATAAGATCAGAAGGGGCAAAGACCTGTGCTTCAGTGAACTTGACTCCAGGTCGTGCTGCAATCCCTGCAAGATCATGCTCCATATACTCAAAGACCAGGTATAAGCTGCCCGAAACCTTTGATGTAATCAGACCTTCAAGCTTCATGACATTGGGGTGATCAAGCCTACGCAAAATAAGAATTTCTCTCGCCATAAAACGCACACTTTCCGGATCCATATTGGCAAATCGCACCTTCTTCAATGCAACTATTTTGTTTGAATCAAGATCACGGGCTCTGTACACACTGCTGTAAGTTCCTTGTCCAATCTGCATTATACACAGTAAAGAAAGAATTACAAAAAGAAAAGGGACTAAAATAAAAATGTCCTTAATGAGGACACCAACAAAAGAGAAGAGTACAAACAAGTTTCAAACGTCTTGGTTTCATGTGGTTCCCACAAACAAGGTATCAATAAAAAAGTGAGCATAGATGAGATCCATTAGTAGTTGCAGCTGAATAGCCCAGTCAGATGTACCTAACTTTCGTTAGTTTTTTAAAGTACGAGTGCATATTATCCCCTTTACAATGCTTATATGTGTGATAACTTTACTCTCAGAATGTGCAAGCAAATAGATCTTTTAGAAACAAAAAACTACTGTATGTAGGAGTAGGTCTTTTATAACACCTACAAACATCCATCTTACTTAAGCAAATCAATCTGACAATTTAAGTGCTTTCTAAAACGTGTTTATCACAACAAAACTAAATGCACATTATGTTCTTTGTACAAACTTAAAGCACTCCAAAACAAATCCCAAGTTTTAGTTAACTGTAAAAACTTAACGAAAGGAATCAGAGATTTACACTAAACATGTAATATTCACACCTGAAAATTATTAAATGTAGGGTTCGTAATATCAATGTTATTAAACGAGAGGATTAAAGATATTAAAGCAAACAAACGGACCTTCTCCAATTTCTCAAATGACTCTGCCTTGAGAGGCACCCATCCACTGATCGCTTCGCCAGCCACTGCTGTCAACCAAGAAGGCCATCCAGCAACAACTTGTGCTCCTCTTTCTCCATTTGTTACACTGGTTATCCTAGTCAGCCCAGACGGCAACTTTCCCCCACTTGCCCCGCCCTCCGTGAAGGGTTTTGTGGGTTTCTCAGCAACCACCATCTTCTCCCCTTCATCTGATGAAATAGGAGTTGACTCTGCATTGTCTTCTTTGTGAGGATTGGTTATCAACCGTGCAGTTGCATCAGCCCCAACTGCAGCTTCAGACCGTTTTGATGACTTGTTTGATTTTTGTTCTTTGTCTCTACGATGATTCTCAGAAACATATTCATTGGATAAACTTCCTTTTGAGCAAATGCAGCCCATTATTCTACTCCGCAGTCCCCTATTATTCCAACAAGAACACTGCAAAATTCGTCTAATTCCCAACGCCAAACGCCATTTCTCAGGCCGCAATTTTTGCAGCCAATGCATGTATTCCGATCAGCATTGCGTCACCACTTCCAGAATCAACGGATCAATAACTTAGTTCTCCAATTAACAACTTCTATCTAATGAATATACCCTTCAAATTACTTACTGAATACGAAATGCAAGAACAGCAGTTCAACTCAAATTTCTACAACCAAGGACAATGGGAGTGGGAGACAACCCAGATCTCCGAATTGACGCTTCTAAACGAAAACCTACCAAGAACAATAAAAGTAGAACTCACAAAAGAACCCAGATCCCCAAATTCAAGAAAACTCCACCAATGCCAACAACCCAGTGAGGGGATTTCTTCACACTACCAGTTGAGATTAAGAATCCCCCAATGCCAAATTCACAAATTACAAGAAACCCAGATCGAAAACATGTCGATGAATCAAAATAAACCCCAAGCAGGAAACTTTTTTGTTCTAAAAAGGCCAATGCTTTTTAATTCAGTGGGAATTATAGAGAGAAGGAATCAAACCTGCAGAAAGAATGTGAATTGGGGAATCGGGCTATGCAGAACGGAATCAAATGGCGGAAAGGGAACAACAGAGCGAGGGTGTGTAAGTAGCGAAATTTTCTGGGGCCAATGTGGTTAATTCCATAAATAGAACAAGTAGGTAAATTCCAACGAAAGCCATCCAAGAGAATTACTTTGAACTGCAAATATTTACCCTTTTGGGGACTTGAAACGTGGGTCGTGACAGAGAAGCAACGGGGAGATTCTAGAGAGAGAAACAGATCCTACAGTGAGAGAGAGGGAGAGAGATTTTAGGATCTGGAATTACGATGAGCCAGCCAATGATGTTGACGTCGGAACACACAGAGGCAGAGCTCTCTCAGACACAATTGCCACTCTGTTTTCTTCAACAGAAAGAAACCGAGTAGGTTTTATTTGCTTTGCTTTGCTATATTTGTCATCGTTGGTTTTAGAGAGAGAGGGAGAGAGAGTGCTTAAATTTACATTCGAACAAACAGAAAGCAACACAAAGCAAAAGTATGTAGACATACAGAAGAGAGAGAGAGAGAGAGAGAGAGAGTTGCACACCTGACACCACACGGGTAGAGAGTTGAGGGTCGGCAACGTGGCGAAATGTGGGTCCCGTTGTTGAAGATTATTGGTCCCACAGGAAGATAGAATGGGACAGGACTAGTCAAGGTCCAGGCTGTGTTTTTTTGATATTTTTTTTAAAAGAAGTGTTATTGACATTTCAAAAATTTCATTCTACATTTTTTATAAGTGTATTTTTCTTTTCAAATATAGAAAGTTTAGAATGTAGAATGAGATTTTTGAAGTGCCAATAACAATTCTTTTTTAATTCTCCTAATCTCTACTAATTAATGAAATCTTTTTGTCAACTAAAAGATGGTGAAAAGACAAATTAATCTTCTATCACACAAAAAAATGATGGACAATAATGTAATTTCATAGGTTCAAATTTTACTGTTTTTTATTAAAATCTCACCTACAAATAATATTAAAATACCTCTAATATTAAAAAAAAAAAAAAAAAAAACCTTACACTCCACGACGTTCTCTCTCTCTCCTCTAATTTTCTGAAAAAATATGTTCATACTGTTTGGGCAAATGTTAGTCATTTTAAAAGGCAGTTTGTTTCCTAAAAAAGAGGTTTGGGTCATTTGAATTGATATTGATGACGTGGTAGTAGTCGGGCCTACTTGATCCACACTTTAAATGTAATCTGGTTGGACAATCCGCACTCAGAAAGTGACATCCGATCCTTTTTGAAGTGGATCGATTTTTTTTAATTTTACATTAAAGGAGTGAAGAGTTCAATTACATCATATAAATGAGCAATCTAATTTGATATCAAATTCACCATTCACGAGATTTGAACTTAAAACCTCTCACTTACAAATAAAAAGAAATGCCACCAGATTGTAGTACTGAGTGACGACGTGGTCTATTTTAAGGGACAAATAAGTTTGAGCCCCAAGACCAGTTCTCAGGCCGAGCTTTCACGTAGGCGACCAGTTCCGAAAATCTCATGTTATTTTAATATTGTGAGGATCACGTCATTCTTAAAGTCTTTGGACGACATGATCTCTTACAGGCGCTAAAAACCGCATATAGACGACACAAAATGTAGTTAATACAAAATCACTACACAAACTGTCTGCTGGAAGCCTCCAACGTTGGCACGCATACAATCATCCTTTTGCTCAAGCCTTCTCTTGGCAGGTAACCCATATGAAACGAAACAACCTAGAAGGTCCTCGAGTATTTTCTAATTTCGTACATGATTGACGATATGGACACTAGATCCTTGTTGAGAGCAGACCCACCAACAATCCTCTTTATGCAATCTGAGAGCCTTGTGTAATAGAGCAACAGCTGAGTCAACGCTGCCCTCAAAATCTCCATACCACACAAGAAGTTGCTGAAAGAAGTTATGACATCTTTGTGCATCAGTTCGATTGCAGCTTTCCATCTACTTGCAAAGTCCTTCACGAGGGGCTCAACCTCCGCAACAGTTATAGGCTTCTCCGAACTAGCACTTGGATCCTCCGCTGATAAGAAAATTGCAAGTAAGTACATTTATTAAAAAGAAACTAGAGGAATAAAAGATGCCACAGCATTTCTTCATCAAAATACTTACAAGCTCGGGTTTTAACAAATTTGATTAAATCGCTAAAATGCTCTAGTAGTAGTTCTTCCTGCAAGGAGAGAGGTGAAAGCTTAAAACAAAAGAAGCAAAGCAAAACCATATACCGTAAAGGGCAGAAAGAACAAAGAGGCTATACAATTGTGTTATTTATCCCATTCTCCCCATATGCTTCTATTTATGTTCTCATGAAAACTTGTAACAAATGCACAAGCAAGACTGAAGTACCATATCAGAAATGAACTAGAAAGATAAAACGTTTAGCTGAAATCCAAACTTCATTTGCAGATTAATAATTCAATCTTCAATTTGCACCAAAAAGCGATCTGCAAGATAGGTAGTACGACCACGCACTTACCACAAATAATGCTGTGTTGCTTTTCAGAAGTTCCTCGAAGTGCATTTGAATTTTACCACCCTCTGGATCAGCTTCCTAGCATTCAAATGACAAAAATTGTGAAACAGCAGCAACCAAAGCATGAAACTGATACAACTGAACATGTTCAAGAAATTTTGCCAGACTTAAATTTCACCTTCATGTTGATATAGATCCTTTGACGTTCATTTCAAATTTGAAAAGAAAAAAAGAAACAAGAAACTGAGTTTACCTTCAAAACAGCAATCGTCATATCATAATTGTTTATCAGAAACACGGTTTGTAGCTTTGGTTTTGGAAATAAATTAGCAAGCTTGATAAGTAAGTCGTCAATAGCCATTCTCAATCGCTCCAAATTTAATTCAAGCTGCAAATCATGGATGGATAATTAAGTCCACGAAGTGATCAAGAATCTTAAATAAGCATAAAGTTTTAAGTTCATTTTCTACATCTAACCTGCCCATCTCCATATTCCACATTGAGGTGGATAAGTGAAGCTGTAAATTCAGCATAACGCCTCATGACATAGTGAGGATGAACATCATCTTCCCACAATGTCTTCACATTTGCATTCCGCATGCTGTTTAGATGCAGGTCAAACACAAGCTTAAAGCGAGGCCATAGGGCAATATTGACCTGTTAATGTTTCAAAATCAGAGGCATTGTCGTTACATGCATTTATGATATAAGAGCCCAATACAAGGTGTGCTTTCAATACGATCCATTTGAAGAAACATAAGCCAATACTAACAATTTGTAACTCTCTTTAACATTTACATATCATCAACCATCAAAGAATACAAGAAACTACATGCAGAATGTAGATGCAGGTCAAACACCATCTTCAAACAAGGCCGTAGGTTAATATTGACCTGTTAATGTTTCAGAATCAGACGGCTTTCTTGTTACATGCATTTATGATATAAGAGCTCAATACAAAATGTGCCTTCAAGTTTCAATATAATCCATTGAGGAAACATGAACCAATACTAGCAATTCGCAATTCTCTTTAACATTTACATATCATCAACCATCTATGAATACAAGTTACATGCAGAATGCAGATGATATGATTACCATAGAAACAAATTCACGACACACACCTTATCAAGGTATGAATCCAAGCATGGACTACGCCGCCTAGACATAATGAGCTGCAAGGAAGAAAAAAAAAAAATCAGAAATAGAATATCTTCAAGCAAATGCACCACAGAACACAGGTTGAGGGTCTCATTAGAATTTAGATTGATAACTACCTGGTGCTGATGTATTATGCGAATCATTAGCATTACACCAATAGCATCGTAACAATTGGGAAGTATTGAATTGAAGTGTTCGTCAATTACAGAAAATGGGCCTGGCGTTAAAAAGCATTACAAATCATCAAAATGAGCCGAATTTTCAAAAAGAAGCACAATGAGAGTCTTCAAAGATCCAAAGCGATCATCTGAATCTAACAGCCACAGGTAGAATGCTTTCAAATTTGGGAGAAGTTTATGCTCTTTGTAGTTATAATCATTATGCAATTGCCAAAGATTTAACCATAACAGAATGAATCAAGAATAGCTGTCATGTTTACCTGCAAAAATTTCATAAAATACGGATTGCTCGCCAAAGAAATCATCACAGAAATGATACCTGCATATAAGAGGGGAAAATTGTGAAAACAAATCAGTATTTGGTCAATTTTCAATTAGCAATTTAGAAATCATTATCAAGGAGCAAAGCAAACTCTAGTGTACTCGGAAGTAGCAGTATCCATAAGTAGCTTGTGCAAGCTCCTGAAGAGGACCTCATATGGATACTTGATGGACCTGGCTTCAGCTATATGTGGAATCAACGCAGGTTCATCAATTTCCTGGTAGATAGCAAAAATTTAAACATGACATAATTTACATGCAAGATATATAAAGAAAATGGCAATATAAGAAAACTAACACTAGCTGCCCATTACAAAACCATCATCTACCACATTTATACCAATTGGACATTTAAAAGTAGAGTATAAGACAAAGTATAACGATCCTTATAAAAATATCGCAATTAAAGACATAATTTGTCACAATAAACTACATTTAAAGTGTTGCCTGTTTTTAGACAAAGCCAATTCCAAGCATTCAAAAACTATTAAAGATATACTGATTATAAGCTCCCAACAATTTCCATCTCAAAGACATTCAATATCATAAAACCAACTGGACCAAAAAAGTTAAAGTCAATTCGATTATGGCAACAGATTTAAAATGTTGATCATTCTTCATTAAAAAAGGCATGAATCATGATACAATGATCAACATAACACTAGAGCTCCTCTGTTGCTCCAGCCTATCTTGTAATTTTTACATTCTTCGACATACATTGCAGGCTGTTCTAATAATGTAATGTCACATTCATAATATAGTGGGATAAAATGGTAACCTTGATCATGAAATATTCAACATAATAATCACTATCTCATTAATAAGTACATAGGTTGCAAAAGTTTTTCGCAACTATTCTGACAAAAAAAAAAAGGAAACAAGCATTTCGCAAAGATGCTACAGTTAGATATCATTTTCCCATGGTATTGTATAAAAATTGGATTAATGAGTTAGCTGCAGTAACAAAACCTTTAAAACTTTTCTCCTCTCTCCAAGAGCAAAGACAGCAGACCGGTTCTTCAGTGGTTCCCTTCCTCTTGAAAAGAGACTAGTGTTCCTAGTCTCAACGCCAATTAAATCACTAGATGTTGCTATATCCAACTGTAGTTTCTCAAGTGCTTGAATGTAAGCACGGAAATGTGCACTGAGAACCTGCAAAACATATAACTCAACTTCAATATACTACATAGATTATCCATTTTCTTTTTGCCCTTTTTTTATTAAGGCTTTTTTTATTAATGTGAAGAGGTGGATTCAGACTTGG